CAGAGAGAGAGGGAGACACAGAATCCAAAACAGACTCCAGGCTCTGAACTGTCAGCACAGAGACAGATGCAGGGCCCAAACCCATGAACCGTGAGATCATGACCTGAGCTGAAGTCAGATGCCCAACTGACCGAGCTACCCAGGCACCTCATTCCTGTTTATTTTAAATAGGATCTTGAAGAAAGGAGGGGTGGGGGTGGTGTGGAGACTCCAGAACACTATAAAGGTGACACACAAGTGTTGCAGATAGTCACTGCTGCAGGAATTCAGACAGAAAAATTACCAAAACTTGGATAGCAGGTCAAGGCTTCAAGGAGACAGTATATCGGGTCTATGCCTCAGAGGTATGCTCTGATTAGAAAAAGGGAAGACTGCATTTCAGGTGTGTGAGAGGAAGGGGCAAATGGTCACTTCCTGCTGGGGTGGGGTGGGTGGGTTAGCAGTTCTGGCTGGAGCCCAGTCTTTGGTATAAAGTCATTATTTCCATATTCATTTCCTTTTTATTGAGGATGAATGTTTCATGCAGCACTGCAAGCACTTTGTGTGTCTTAACTTATTTAATCCTATAAATCTTTGAGGAAGGTACCATTATTATTTTATAGCTGATGCAGGAGATGTATGCAAGGTAAGTAACTTGCCTAAGGTCACAAAGGTGGTTAAATGGCAGAGCTGATACCCCAGAACCCAAAAAGTCTGGCTGTAGAGCCTACGTTCATAACCCAAATGTGATATAGTACTCCTCCCTCTCAGTGAGAGAAAACAAAGCAAGGAAAAGAAGGGTGCCATCTGATGCATCTGCATTTAGGAACAGATGGGCTGGGAAAGGACAGATTTGGAAACATCCCAAGGGAAATAATTCTGTCAAGCAGCTGGAAGTCCTAATGGCCTCAAAACCATTTCCCAGAGTGTACAGTCCCAGAGTCGGGGCCACCAGAGAACAGCACAGAAGGTCTTTCAGAAGGTCACCACCCATCCCTTACTTAGGATGCTACTCCAAGATCATTGTGAGTGAACAATAGGAATAATCACATCCTCTGCCTTCAATTCATTCTGGCTGCTTAACACACACACAGTTTCTCAGCATTCTACCACGTCCACCTAGAATCAGAACAGGACAAAGAGTGGGAAAACTCATTACAGACTGGGAAAGAATTTTTAAAAATAATGAGGAACCTTGGCTCCATAGTAGATTCCCTCACTAGGACAATATGGTGAACTCCTACCATTCGAAATAATTCCCCACAGGATGGGGAAGTAAATCCTCATCCCATGGCCCTCAAGCTTGGTCAAGTGACTGGCAGAGTCACTCTTTGCAAAAGGATTATCCATCTCCATCTTGCTGAATTTAGGAGTGACGATTTACTTTGGCTAATGAAGTTTGTGTAGAAGTGATCCACGTTAAGAGCTTGATAGTTCAGGGTTCAGCAGATCTTTTTCCTCTGCTACCAGACTAGCAAGGTCCAGACAGAGGACCTGCGTCCTGGAGTCAGTACAGCATGGAGATTTCAGAGACTGAATCAAAGACTATGGGTAAGAAATAAACCTTTGTTGTGTATGTCACCAAAATTTGGAACCAATGTGTTGCCTCAGCATAAGTTAGTCTAACAGACTGACACAATTGGTAGGTCTATATATATATATTGGTCTAAGAGCCTTGGTTCTAAATCCTAGCACTCCCAGTAACTGGCTGTACACATTAGGTAAGTGTTAGTTTCTTTATTCCTCAGTTTCCTTGTCTATGTTACTTCTTGGGAATTTTGTAAGGATACAGTGAGATAATTATCTTGACAATAATTTAAATAAAATTTAAAAATCAAGATGCTAAGAAGGCTTGCTGTGCAGAGGTTTTTGCTGTTTTTTAACTCAATTATAGTTCATATACAATGCTACATTAGTTTCAGGTGCATGTGATTCAACAACTCCATACATTAAGCTATACTCACCATAAATGCAATTACCATCTGTCACCACACAACACCATTTCAATATTACTGGCTATATTCCCATGTTGAAGGTCTCGTCTCTGTGCCCCATCCACTCTATAACTGGAAGCTTGTATCTCTTCATCTCCTTCATCTATTTTGCCCTTGCCCTGTATCCTCTCCCCTTTGGCAGCCACCAGTTTGTTCTCTGTATTTATGATTCTGTTTGGTTTCTTGTTTGTTCATTCATCTTGCTTTTTTAGATTCCACCTAAGTGAAATCATACAGTATTTGTCTTTCTATGACTTATTTCACTTAGCAGAATACCCTCTAGATCTATCCATGTTGTCACAAATAGCAAGATCTTTCTTTTCTATGGCTGAGTAATACTCGTGTGTGTGTGTGTGTGTACATACAGATGCTGAATGGTCAAAGCTGTTACCAGGAGTGGGGTGCTGTACAATTGTAATTGGTGCTTATGTGATGATGCTACATGTACTGTAACACCCCCATCCCTTACTCCTTAAAAACCCTGTATATATATATATATACACACACACACACACACACACACACACAGCACTTCTTTATCCATTTATCAATGGATACATATACTGTTTCCATATGTTGGCTGCTGCAATTACATAGAGGTGCATATATCTTTTTGAAGTACTGTCTTTATTTTTTTGGGGTAAATACCCAATAGCGGAATTACAGGATCATACAGTATTTCTATTTTTAATTTTTTGAGGAACCTCCATACTGCTTTCCACAGTGTCTGCACCCATTACATTCCCACCAACAGTGCATGAAGGTTCCCTTTTCTCTACATCCTTGCTAACACTTGTTATTTCTTGTTGTTTGACACTGACAGGTGTAAGGTGGTATCTCACTGCGGCTTTGATTTGCATTTTCCTATGATTAGTGATGTTAGGCATATTTTCATATGTCTGTCGGCCATCTATAGGTCTTCTTTGGAAAAATACCTATTCAGGTCCTCTTCTCATTTTGTAATTGATTTCTTCGGCGGGTGGGTGTTGAGTTGTGGAAGTTCTTTATATATTTTGGATATTAACCCCTTATTAACTATTTCATTTGCAAATATCTCCTGCCATTCAGTAGGATGCCTTCTAGTTTTGTTGATGGTTTTCTTTGTTGTGCAAAAGCTTTTAATTTTGGTATAGTCCCAATAGTTTACTTTTGCTTTAGTTTTCTTTGTCTCAAGAGACATATCCACAAAAATGCTCCTAAGGCCAATGTCCAAGAGATTACTGTTTCCTTTAAAGAGTTTTATGGCTTCAGGTCTCACATTTATGTCCTTAATCCATTTTGAATTTGTTTTTGTGTACGGTATAAGAAAATGGTCCAGTTTCATTCTTTTGCCTATAGCTGTTTGGTTTTCCCAACACCATTTATTGAGGAAACTTTCTTTATCCATTGTATATTCTTGCCTCCTTTGTAATAGATTACTTGGCCACATAAGTGTGGGTTTATTTCTGGGCTCTCTATCCTGTTCCATAGACCTATCTGTCTTTGTGTCAGTACCTTACTAGCTTAATTACCATAACTTTGAAGTATATCTTGAAATCTGAGATTGTGATACCTCCAGCTTTGTAGTTTCTCAAGATTGCACTGGCTATTCGAGGTCTTTTGTGATTCCATACAACTTTTAGAATTATTTGTTCTAGTTCTGTGAAAAATACTATTGGCATTTTCAATAGGGATTGCACTGAATCTCTAGATTGCTTTGGGTAGTATGGACATTTTCACAATATTAATTCTTCCAATCCATGAGCATGGTATATCTTTCCATTTGTGTCTTCAATTTCTTTCATCTTTAAAACAAATTAAAAATCAAGATGCTGAACAGCTTCCTGTGCATAGATGGTTTTGGTTAAACCTTTTTCTTTCAACAGTAGGTCTGAGTAAACGTAATGGGCACCCTTGATGAGAATCACAAAATTTATATTGACATGAAAACAATACACAAAGGGATAAAGTGAAGGAAAAGGTGTTAAGTCTTAAGAAAACCATGGCTTTTTAATAGACTTTACTCCTACTTTCTTAGAATTCTATGGCTTTTTAACATTCTTCATGGAGTATACTGTTGGACACTTGTAGTCCAAGATAGAAGGAGTCCTACCATTCTCCCACCCTTTAGGACTCAGTTGCTTCGACGTTTAAGAAAACAAGACTCTGTAGTTCTACATCTTGAGGAAGGCCTCAATACAGAAGACTAAACAAAGGAAGACCTATGCTGGGGATGTGGTCACTGGATCCCTCCTCCTCTTTGTGTGTTTCCTCAGTCTTCACTTCCTCTATTCTTATGGGTACTATTTGGTCATGAAAGGAACAACTCTGTCCTTTCTCATCTGCCCTCTATCCCACTGAATCCTGAAGAATTCATACTCTGCAGACTTTCAAGGTCTTTTATCAACCGATTCCAACAATCTGAGATAGGCACAGGATATAAAATATCTTTAAAACTGTGTAGAAAATATGCATGTGTCTTAAAGAATGCACTGTATTATCTGGTCTCCTCCCACCTGCCTAGACTCACATCTGTCCACTTTCTCTACCCAACCCTTAACACTGATGTCATAGGTGGATTTCCTTAAAAGGCTCAGTCTCTCACCCAGAGCTTTGCACATGCTATTTCCTTGGCTTAGTACATCTTTCCACCTCATTTTCCTTACTCATCCTTTTGCTTCCTTATTCATCCTTCAGAGAAATTTATATATATATATGTAATATATATATATTTTGTAGACATAATTCCCTTACAGTTAATACTTGCTAGAAAATGGAGTTTGGCATTACTTACAATTATATCAATATTCACAGAGGCTGAACATCATAGGCATATGGGTGAACTGTCACTACACGATGTCTTCTCAAGTTGTTTCAAATTATAGCGATGAAGATCAGTTTACTAGAGCCAAACTTGTTCTTAACAAGTAGAATTTTTTTATCCATGCAATCAAAGACTCACATCTTTCTGGGCGTATTCATTTACAGGTAGGAGTAGATATTGTAACTGGGTTCCTCATGTCATGCATTCACATGTGATGCCCATCTTCATATGCTTTCCAATTTCTTTAGGAGAAAAGATGTGACTTGCAGCAGGGCCACATAGATGAGGAAGTCCCATATGGAGGAGATCACAACCTTGAACATCTTCCTTTTCATCTCCTCAGGGTCCAGCTTTGGCACAAGTCCCTCAATCAGGAACATCTCCGCTTTGCCTCTCCAGCCTCCACCTGCCACACACTACTCTTCAGAGGCTTATGCTTTATGCTGTGTATATTTTCATCACAATTTTTAAAAAGCAAAAAAAGGAAGGGAGCATGAACAAAGCTTCTGCTTGTTGGATAGCAAAGACATTCTTTTTGGAGCATGAAGCCTGTCCCCTCCATTAACATATCACACTCAGTCCCACACAGGCACAGTTCAGCAGGTGGACAGAATGCAACCACACAGGTCAACTTCCTGCATCCTTTGACTTGAGCAAGACACTCACACTCGGTGGCATGGATCCTTAAAAAGAGGGTTCTAATGCCTTGGTTCTGGCACATGAGGGTACAGACCTGATTTCTACCTCAAACAGGCCTGGGAGGATGCAAATTTGATTTCATATCACCCAGCAAATTATTTTTAGAAGCCTGTCTCTATCACCTCAGCCCAAGTATTGTTTTCATGTTCTACAGTGGTTCCATTGATGGGTTGCCAGCAGGCCTGAGTGGGTCAGAGGCAGTACTGTTTAGTTGGAAGGGAGTTTTCTGTCAATCTGGATTTAAACAACAACGACGACAAAGCGGGTATCAATTATATTGTAAAGTAGGTCTCCTTGGGGAACACTATAGAAGCTTTGGATCTGCTGGGTCTTTGTTTAAAAAACGGTTCACTTCACTGATCCCAGCTGAGACAGTTTTAGCTAGCACCAAGAAAGACAGGTTTCAATAAATTATAAAATCCAAGAGCAGCCTATACCCACCCCACCCCATCAAGTTTAAGGTCTTATAAAGAGACACACTGGCTTAAGAAAACTCTATAGCCTGCCCCACAGGAAGTCTAAACCTGAAGATCATTATCAGCTGTGGCATCATCAGTGGCTGTAAACACTAGGTCTTCTGACAATCAATCAAAGTAGGACATCCAAATCATTCACTCCTTTGTCTGGACACAGAGGGTGGCCCCTTTGAAAGCACTAAGCATCTGCGTCCATTATATGGGTGTCCAAATAGACAGGGCCTACCAGACACACAGTTTGGTTTCTAAGTTGCAGATTATAGGAGACGGGTTATACTTACTTGTGTAAATCTCACAAAGTTAATGAAAACATGCCAACAATCCAAAAGCTCTTATATCAGGATGGTGGGATATGGGTAGTTTTGTTCTTTTTTTTTTAACGGTTTATTTTTTATTTATTTATGAGAGAGAGAAAGAGAGAGAGACAGCATGGACAGGGGAGGGTCAGAGAGAGAGGGAGACACAGAATCTGAAGCAGGCTCCAGGCTCTGAGCTAGCTGTCAGCACAGAGCCTGATGCGGGGTTCGAACCCACGAACCATGAGAGATCATGACCTGAGCTGAAGTTGGACACTTAACCGACTGAGCCACCCAGGCACCCCTGTAGTTTTGTTCTTTTAATCAATTCTGCGGGTCTGTTTTTCATTGCAATGTAAACAATTTTTAATGAAAATATTTTAAAACAAAACAACAAAAACTATAGCTTTCAAATTATTTAAAAAGACAGATTACTGTACCTCAAACACTTCCAGCATTCCTTAATAATTGCTTATAGAGTCTCAATGTGCATAATTTACACCACTGACTAAAGAGTTTTAATTTTTAAAGACCTCCCCCTAGATGACAGTCCCTTTATCATTTAAAGAGCCATCCCCTGGACCTTTTTCAGCTTCATTAATCTTTTGCCAGGTACAAAAGAGCCAAAATCCTTCATGCAAGGGCCACAGCAGACAGTCTTAGAAATGGCAATTTTGGGTGCGCCTGGGTGGCTCAGTAGGTTAATGATCTTGCGGTTCATGGGTTCGAGCCCAGTGTCAGGCTGTGTGCTGACAGTTAAGCTCAGAGCCTGGAGCCTGCTTCAGATTCTGGGTCTCCCTCTCTCTAACCCTCCCGTGCTCATGCTGTCTCTCTCACCCTCCCGTGCTCACGCTGTCTCTCTCTCTCTCTCTCAGAAATAAATAAAACATTTTAAAAAAAATGGCAATTTTCTAACAAGGGAAAATAACATTTCACTGTCAGTCCTCACCCTCCTCCTGCTGAAAACAGACCATATTTTCAGGAACTGTCTCTAATGATTCCTGGACAAGATCCTTACCTGCACTGTAAGTGCTGACTCAGCAATAGGCACATAATTTCTTTTCTCCCTAAATGGCTTACATACTCCATACTCACTGAAGTTCACCTCACTACACATGGACACTCAGAAATAAAAGCTCCAGGTAAAAAGAGTGTGTCTGTCTTGTCCACCGATGGAACCCTGGCTCCTAGAACAGTACCTGGCACACAGGAGGAACTCAGTAAATAGTTTTAAATGAGTGAATACATGAACTTGGTTTTTCCATTTCTTTTGGCTCCACAGATAAAAGAATAATTAAATACGACTCTTGAAGGATATCATGGGAAATCTCTACCACTGGAAAAGTTTAAATACATACCATCTGTTAGGGATAAAGTAAGAAATATTTTTGCGTTGGGAAGAAGGCTGAACTGGATAATCTCTGAAAGTTCCTTTCAACTCCTAGTCTCCATAACTTGAACACCACACCTTAAGAGAGAGTGGATCAGCTACATAAAGCCTGATTCTCAGGTAGAGTAAATTACCATGTTCTGTTGAAAAGAAAGATAATAGCTGTCCTGAGACTTGGATGCAAAAGTACTAACTCATCCAAAATGTGGACACGTCCCTAGGGGAGAAATGTTCTTGCTAATCGTTAGTTATATTCTGAAACAGATGTATCTTAGGATCTTCTCAGAGCCAAGCACCAACAGCATCCAAGAGAAAATGGAGAAGCTAGGGGTCGAAATTAGAACAAAAATAAACAATATCACACTAAACTGAAGCTTTTCTTTTCCAGCCAACAAATCCACTTAAGAAACATCTTAGTTCAGCCTTAAGGTTTAAATGGTTATAACTGAATATAAGACAGAAAATACTGCATCTGACATACAAGGATTTTTCTCCAGTAAAATCTCATATTTACTTAGGATATCACGCTAAGACATTCAAGTTTAAGAATGCCTAAAATTGAGAGCAAGTTATCCTAACTGAACTTTCCTTCAATCTGGAAGAGAGAGGCAGTTTTTAGGGAAAGGAGATCTGTTCATGTTTTCCTAAACAACTTTTTAAAAAAGTCTAATTCTAAAGGGGTAACTAGGGGAACTCCATTCATACATAAATCAACTTTGGAGTGGTTCTTTTCTCTCAACTCACCCTTCCTTTCATTTGTTCAAGTCAGAAAATAGATAAAAGAGCAGGAGGGGCAGAGAATTCTAAGATGAAGAATGTAGTGTAGATCCCTTGGAGCTGGGTTGGGATAAATCTACATTCACAATTATTGAAGATATAACTACAGGCATCACACTTAAGAACTGAATGAACAAAGTAAAACAATTCAACAATTCTTTGGAAATGTATGAAAAGACTTTTCAACTTTGTAGTCAACTCTTGATCACCCATGTTACAACTCAGTCCAAAAAAAGTCTTCTGTTCTTAAACTGCAATTTAATCTTAATTCAATGACAACAGGGAATGTGCAGAGAAAGCAGTTACCTCTTCTATACACATACACTTTTTAGAATCTCCCCTATTATTTGAATAAGAAGTCTCAGAGAAGAATTCTGTGGGATTAAGCTCACATCTGGTTGGCAGACCTGGTGTTGGATATGATTACGGCCACACAACTAAATCTTAAATCCACATACTGTTCCTTTTTAACTGACATATATGAACTAACTAATTTATAGAAAATGTGCAGCAAATTATTTCTTCTACCTCCCCCAAGCCTCAAGAATGAACCAGCAATAGGTATTACTGAACATCCCCCCCCAAATTTGCATTCCTAGACACTATCCAATTATCTCAAGCAGATATCAGTTATTTTAGTTATGGAAATATGTGCCCTGGAAATACATAGTGTGGGACAGTGAGAGAGGAGGGAGTAAGTTAACCAGATAAACTTGATCTCTTTGTGCCTCAATTTCCCCCGCCAGAAAAATAAAGGGATTAGCACAGAGACTCTGTAAATTCCCTCAGTAACAATAATCCACGACCACTAATTATCAAGGACACAACTTGTGTGCAAGAGGAAACCTGAATTCTTAAGTGTTTTAGGTCTTTAAATATTAGAGTGTAAAATGCCCCAAAAACCCAGTTAACGCTTCAGTAGGACCACAGCACACTTTGACAGTGGAGAACTTCTCGGAAAACACCTCTGCGGCCAAACCACCAAACCGAGTTAGAGCACGCAGAAGAACCCCGCGAACTTCCCGGGGCCGGGTGGGGGCGGGGGCAGCAAAAGGCGCGTGTATCTGGAGAGGAGTTCCAGAAAGAGCTGGGAGTCCGAGCACAGCCTTGCATCCCTGGGGCTTCAGACCTTCCAGGATGTCTGTAAATCTTTCACGCGGAACTACAAGGCATCTCCAGCCACCACCTGCGGCCACACAGATGGAGGCAGATGAGAAAAGGAAAAGGAAGGAGGTGGTAGAGCGGGAAAAACCTCGCTCCAGGCGCGCCCCAAAACCGGCGGTGCGAAAGTGGACTTCGAACATCGACAAAGAAACGGGGAAAGACGAGGAAGGACGACTCCGCCTTTCCCACCGGGCTCTGCTCCTTCCAATGAAAAAGGAAGGGCCGCCGCCGCCCCTTCCTCCCTCCTGCCGTCCACCCGGAGACGCGGAGCACCAACCGAGACCGCACCCTCAAAGTCGGGCTCTGAACCGCGAGCCTGCCTTGCGCCCCACGAGGCGCTGCCTCTGCCCGGCTGGCGAATTCGGGGAGGGAGCGCACCCTCGGTCCTTCCCTCGCTCCGGGCACCGGGTTCTCCACTCACCCGCCCTAACCTTCCTCTTCCTCGCGTCCCTGCCTCCTCGGTTCGCCGCCCCCGGTCTTCCAACCTCGAAGTATTTTAATACTTCCACCCACCACGACAAGGGGGCCTTGTGAAAACTTTGTGTGTGTGTGTGTATCTAGGGCTTTTGTCCACATCCTGGGCAGGGCCAGGTCAGCCGGGTGCGTGCCTGGGGGTGTCCCGGATCTCACAATGGGGAAGCCACCCCGGAAATCCCACCCTTCTATTTCTGACCCGCTCCTACAGCTGGGTGACAGCGCGCTTCGGGGCACAATTCCCATGCCCCGGTCGCCCCCTCGGCCACGGGGAGCCAGGAGGAAACCCCCGCACTCGATGCCTCTCTCGACTGTCACGAGTGAAAAGGTGTGCACGCCGAGAGGGAGGCGGCCGAGAAGCCCCGTGGCCAAAAGAAACCCTTTAAAGGGAAAAGAGGGAAGGGGTCCTTTCTCTCCCACATCTCCGCAATCCGGGCCCGAGGAGGCGATACCCTGTTGCATCACGTAGTAGCCCAGCCTCTGGTCGCCTAGCCCTCCCCTCAGCTCCAGACGCGCGCCCAATCTCATGCACACACCCACAGCCGCCACCATCCGGAGCCCCCGCCCCGGCATTCCCCGCCCGCACCCGCCTGAACGCGGGGACCACCCCGGCGCCACAAGAGCGGCGGGCGAGGGTGGTGAGGCCCCAGCACTCACAGACGGTCTTCCCACTGCCACGGCCATCGCGGCTGCGGCTCCGACTCCGGCTGCGCCCGGGTGCTCTCCGCCAACACGGGCGGCTGCTAGCGCTCCGGCTCCGGCTCGCCTCCCCCGCGCCTCCCTCGCGGCTGCGCTCTGCTAGCACTCAGCTCGCGCTCGCGGCCAGCGGCATCTGCTCCCCCCACGCCTCCGCCCCTCCCGCTTTATTAGAGCAACATGGCCACCCGCCTGGAAGAGACCATTCGGTTCCCCAGGAAGGGGTGTGAGTCTGCGTGCACGGGCTGAGACGGTGGGAGGGGGATGGCGCGCGGGCCTGCAGCCGGGGTCAGCGGGCTCCGGCGGCAGGACTCGCGCCCAGCGAAGGTAGCCGTGGGCCCCGAAACGACCCTCTCCGGTGCCACCGAGACTACCCCAGCCTGTACTCTGGCCGCCATCCCCCGCTCCACCACGTACTGGAGTCCGAGTAAAATCCTGGGCGCGGAGGTCCCGGCCTCGGCTTCGGCCACGCGCTTCACCGAGGAGGAGAGGCTGCGGAGAAGGTGAAGGGACACTGGGGCAAGACGGGCCCGTGGGGACAGCGTCTCGCGGAAAGGTGGCCCAGGGCAAGCACGCTCCACCCGGAGGAACCGGCTTGGAAGGGCTGCGGGCCAAGCGGGCAGAGAGAGCTCGGTGGGCGACCGAGGTGGGCCTGGGCCGACCCCCACGAGGGAAGCGTTGCCCCTTCACCGTTCTTTTCGTGAGGGAGGGTCTAAAAGGCAGGCAGCTAGAAGCTGTCACGAAAGCGCGCGGCTGGGTAGGGGATCACCGTGGAGAGGAAGAGGCCATAGCAGTTGCTGCGGACGACCCAACCACGGCCTGCTGGAGAGGAAGAAAAGAACGCCCCCGCTGGAGAATTAACGCAGCTGTTGGCCGCCGCGGAGCGTGGGGCCCAGGCCTTCCCCGGGTGTAACGGGAGCTCGTTGGTCACCCGTGGGGGCTCAGCCGACCGCATTCGCTTGCTGGAGACAGACCCGACGACGCGGAGGCGCGCGGGCGGGCTTGCGGCTGGGGAGGGACGCGGCGACAGCGCCAGGCGCCACTCCGTCCGCGTGGGGCTGGAAGACTCGGCTGTGGGGAAAGGCTTGTGCAGCAGGTGTCGGGGCGTTACTGCGTGTCTGTGTGGCGGACGGAGTGGCAGGGTTCCGGCGCGTGCTGGGTGGCGAGGTGTGCCAAAGGTGCTGTGGGTTACCGCGGCCCCGCGTGGAGCCGGAGGGGCCGCGCACGAGGCCAAGGTGATTGGGGAGAGCAGCCTGCCTGCAGCGGGATTGGAGAGGGGGGGGAAGTGTGGTGCGGAGATGAGAGGCGGTGATAAGCCCACGCGGTCGCGCCCTCCGGGAAAACTTGGGCCTATTGAATCAGGTGGAAGACAAACCGCCTGTTTAGACTGAGGCGTCTCAGAGTGTGACCTAAGCGCCCAGGTTTCTCTGGGCCGTGCGTCGGCCTCTGTCCCACTGTGGGCCGCAGGATTCGAACGCGCCCGCCTTTGGCTAAAGATGAGTGGGGCTTCGGGCGTGGGTCCAGCTGCTGTGAAGCAGACGCTGGGTGGCCTTGGGAAGGGCTGCGGGGCTCGGTGCTGAATTCCACCCGCAGTAATGAGAGTACCTATGAAAGAAAGATGAGGATCTCTGAATGGAGACCTGGTGTGGTGGGCGGGCCCAGACTAACACAGAACAGGAGTCAGTTTGACCAAGATCTGCCTTTTGAGGACAAGGACCAACATTTATGTCATGCATACAGTAGGCCCTCTCTAAGTGTTGAATTAATATTCCCATGTGGATGGGTGATGTGCAAAGAGAAGGGGAAAAGAGAAATACTTTGATCTGCTCTCTGTATATAGCCATTTTTTCTTTCTCCCTTAGGGAGGATTAGACAGTGGCACTGCCCACAGACCAAAGGTCTCACGTAAACCCCACGAAAACATCCCTCCTCACCTTGCCAACCAGATGTAAGGGCAATTGGAAACCAGCTCTCCATTTTGTGTTATGTTGACCAGACCAGATGGCAGGATTTAATGAGTTGTTTTTATTTTTATTTACTTCTTCAGTTTGTAAGAGTTTATGTTGAAAACCTCTGATTAGATTCTAAGAGTATGAACTCCCTGCCTTGGTGGGTGGGTTAGTTTATTCTCATCACAACAGCTTAAAGACATTTATTTCAACAGCTCCATTGTTAGAGGAAACCCTTTTAGGACAAAATCATCACAATTTGCCCCACTTCTGCCTCAGTTTTTTCACTGACAAGGAGGACTGCCTTAAATTCCTCCCACCCAGTTTTTTGTTTGTTTTGGCAGGTAGGCATAAATATATTTAATAAAAATACAATTTAATTACTTTTGGCCAAGAAGGCTATTTCAGAATGTCATTTCTCATTGTGAAGTTATTTAAATAATCATTCTATAACCTAGGTTCAAAAATCCTGGCTTTACCACTTGATAACTGTGTGACCTTGGGCAAATTATTTAACCTTTCAGCACTTCTATTTTATCATATTAAAATCTTTTTAATAATAGTTCCTCCCTAATAGAGTTGCTAAGGGATTAGATTACCTTTTTAGATTATACTGTGGTAGGAAGTAAAAAATTTTAAATGCAGCTGCCTCTCTGACTCTTAACCAGTGTGCAGTCTGCTGAGAGATGTTTAAACAATTCTGATAGAAAAGACAAATCCCAGAAAAGATATATGAATTATGGGATTTTAAAGTATAGTAAAAGGAACTATTACTCTGCCTGTCAGAACAGGAAAGGGTTCACCAAGGAGGTGGAACAGGAGAGAGAGCAAGGAAGACATTCTACTTTGTTCCTTTAGCTTTAGGAGTACTAATGGCTTCTTAATGTTACTAGTTTTGGGATGCCTTGCCATCTCTTATTTGTCCTTCTAACTTTGCCTACTTCAGTGCTTCTCAAATATTAGTACCTGTGAATCATTTAGGGATCCTAAATGATTTTATTTTTTTAAATTTATTTATTTTGAGGGAGAGAGACAGCAAGCACAACTCAGGGAGGGGCAGAGAGAAGGAGAGACAGAATCCCAAATAGTCTTTGCACCATCAGTGCAGAGCCCAATGCGGCCCTTGAACTCATGAACTGTGAGATCGTGACCTGAGCTGAGATCAAGAGGCTTAACCAACTCCACCACCCAGGTGCCCCTTAGGGATCCTTTTTAAATGCAGATTCTAATTTACTAGGTCTGGTGGGGCCTGAGAGTCTCCAGTTCCCTCTGGCTCCCAGGTGATGTTGATACTGCTATTCTGGTAGTCAATCATACTAGACTACTAAGGGTTTACAGTTGTGAAGCAGTTCCTTTAAGTTTCTTTATTTGAAAAATCTGAGATAAGTTCTTTTTTCCATGAAGAACTTGATATAGATGAAAACAAAAGACTGAAATTGACATTCATGAGTTCAATCTTTTTCCCTATTGTGAAAACATTTGTTAAAAAATTCATTTTGGGGTCACCCCGCTGGTTCAGTGGGTAGACCGTCTCTCTGACTCTTGATTTCGGGGTTTATAAGTTTGAGGCCCATACTGGGTGTAGAGATTACTTTAAAAAAAAAAACAACCCACCATTCTAAACATTGTGAATTTACCAGTAATTCTCAAACTTTCTCTTGCTTTTTATGCTCTTTTAAAATCAGGACAATATTTGCCCCTCTTTAATCTTCTGGCATTTCTTACTTTTCTCTGGCTTTCCAAAGCTGACTGGTATTGATTCCACAATCACTTATGCAAAGTATTTCATGGATAATTCATTTAGGCCTGGAAAGTTTAACTCACTTAAAACAATTGGTTGCTCATTTACCACATGGGATTTTAGTAGCCTCTTAATCATTAAAATGAATTTTTTTCATTAAAAAATTACTGTCTTTGAGAGAGGAGACAAAAATCGAGGGGTCTTGCCCCCTGTCCTTTTTTTTTTTTTTTTGTCATTTGATAGCATTATATCCTCAGAACCCAAAAAGTGGGTTTCATCCTTTCTTGTTCACCCTCTTGTGGCAAACATTACTTGAAAAAAAAAAATCTGGAAATTCCTTGGTATTCTTTTTTAAAAGAAAAAATTATCCAGGATAAGCCTACAGGAAAGTATCCATCCTTGTAGGCTTGTGCCACTCTTTAATATATGCTCTTTTAAAATCTGATCTTGTTAAGAATCACCCTGTGAAATGACATGCTCCCTGGAATATGAGGACTTGGACTCTAGTCGCTCTCTTTGGCAGCCAGCCCTGGAGTAGGGTCAGTTACCCTGGTGCTGGCACCCATAATTTATCAGAGAATTCCTTTCTCCCTGAGGCCAGCATTGCCATGTCAATTTTTGGGGTTTTTTTTCTGCCTCTATGAGCCTAAAAAAATATGTAGTTGGAAGTCCCTCTGACTGCTAGATATTGCTACTGAGAAGAGAATCCTGTACATACACCTGTATATTCTGGCAGCAGTATCACTTCTATATTCTCACCTTTTGTCTCAACCTATTCATTCACCAGCTACCATCCTGCCATTATCAGTTTCTACCAGCGGAATAATTCTATTGCATGGGGTTACTCTGCACCTACATTTTTTATCTTGCAGGTTTGATCCTTTTGAATGAGGTAATACTTCCTTATTTCAGTCATGAGTTCCTTGCTATTTCATCTACCAATATCTGTTCGACTGTGTTCCTTTCCTTCTGTTACTTTTTCCAAGTTCCGTATGCTTTGCCATTAATTCTCCCTTTCCAACCTGAGATTTCAAAAATCACCAGCACTTTATTCCAAGTTTCTTCTGTTTTCATTTAGTCTACCTAGATCAACATAAGTAGATACTGGTTGGTTGTTATGATAAATTTTAGCAGATTATGCTTCATGCCTCACCATTATACTCTTTAGGGGGATAATAGAATCAGCCACTGTAAGCCTACCTCCATAGTGAAAAACATGCGCTTGGGAATCAGAACAATTGGGTTCATGTTCCTGCACTGCCAAATACCATATGCTTTGCAATTTTTTAAATTGATAATATTGATTTGAGTATAGGCTATTTCTATAATAGAAACACCCCAGGGATGCTGGGTGACTCCGTCCATTAAATGACCAACTCTTGATTTTTGTTCAGGTCATGATCTCACAGTTGGTGAGTTCCAAGCCCTTTGTCA